GGTCCTCAATTTAACTGAGCCTATCTTCCATCATCTCAACTCTGCTATTGAGTCCACTCAATGAGTTTTTTAATCTGTCATTGTACTTTTCAGTTTTAAAATTTTCATTTGGCTCTTTTGTATAACTTCTATTTCTTTGCTGAGGTTTTTTTTTTCCATTTGTTTAAAGATAATTTGTATTTGGTTGTTGAAACATTTTTAAGATGCGTGTTTTAAAATCATCTTGATGTTAAATGTCAGTTGTCTTTTTTCATTGAAATTGTGATTTTGCTGGTTCTTGGTGTGACAGGTAATTTTCAATTGTATCCCAGACATTTTGTCTATTCTCTGGAAACTCTGGGCCCTATTTAAATCTTTTACTTTCGTAGGCAGTCACCTTGTTTACCTTTAGTACATAGGCCCTGGCTTATATTTGGGGATTGTGGGCCCAATGACAGTTTAATTTTCAGAGGCTTTGTGGTGTAATTTTGATCTATTCTCTACTGAAGAAACTTCTTTGTCCCACAGCTTGAGACTGCATTGACTGGACAATTTTTGTGGTGGGAATCTTTCCTGTTCATGCTATCTGGCCATCCTAGTGTCTTTGGTGGGTGAAGGAAGTCTTAGGTCCACTGGGGCAAAGATGCTTCCCAGGCTGAGCTGCTCGTTTCAGACTTCCCAAAGTTGACAGTCCCTGTTTCTGTTGTTCCCTGGCCAGTCACCTATCTTCCAGTGGGGGAGGGTAGTCTCAGGCCTAGCAGAAAAGAGTAATTCTGCCCCTGGCCACTTACTATTAGTGGGACACTCATCTATCCCTCTTGCTGGTGGTGCTTGGCTAACCCAATGGTGTCAGAGAGATTCCAGTTGATGGGGTGGGGTGGATGAGAATATCTGGGCTGCCTCCTGTTGCTAGGTTGGGAAAGGTCAGGCCTTGGCTGTCTTCTTTGATTGGGTGAGGGGATGTAAGATGCTCTGCTGCTGTGTTGTTTCTCCAGTCCTAGGGTTCTGAACCAATTCACCTTTCTCTTACCACCAGTTAAAGTTCTCCTTTGGTTGACTTTTGCATCATTTCAAGGATTTATGGTTATACTTAACCATATGGTTATACTTAGTGGGGAGGAAGGTGCAGCTGGGAGACAAAAGTCTATACCATTTTGTCTGGACCAAATTTTCAGCCCAATTATTTTTACATTTATTATAGCTTTTGGAATTATTTCTGATACTGAATGATTTTTTAAAATTAGAGATATCTAACCAAGACACAATAACCTGGTAAGTTTGGATTGACTTCCTGTGTATAACTTGCGTTTGCTTTATTATGGAGGAAGTATTGTTATACTCCCTATTTTAAGGCAAAAGGGTAAAAAAAAAAAAGAGCCTGGGGTCAGAATGAGATTCTAGTTGAATGTACCCACTATGTAGGGCTAATTGTGATCATTAAATGAAAAAATATATATAATGCATAGATTCCTCAGTGCATGCAGGCCACAGTTAAGTGCCCAATAAATGTAACTGTTCCCTTTCTTCTACACAGCCAAATTTTTTTCCTTAGTTGTTTAAAGTCCCTGAGGGCAGAAATGATTTTTTTTCTTTTATTACTTTGTATCCCTAACGTCAAGAACAGTACCTGGTAATAAAAATTAAACTGTCTGAATAGCATTTATATCCTTTGTAACAACTCCATCAACTCCCAGCCATGGTCTTTCTCTCTTCAAATTTCTTTGACCTCCTTGTGATTCAGTTTCTTGCTTGAATTAACTCATTTTTGGCTTTCCTCTCCCTCTATTCCTTCACTGTGCCGTTAAAGCAATAAGTTTTTCTGTGTTCATGTGTTTTGATTCTCTGTTTTTCAGTCATTCCATTCTTGGGCAAAGATATAAAATGTTTCTTTTCCTCATGAGTTTTAGGCAGTAACAATCACAGCCCCTGTGACCTGGCAGAGAAAGAATATTGCTTTATAACATCCATTTTATTTGCTCAGAGTAGTAGGCCTACCTCAGAAATACAGGTTTTTTTTTTTTGCCAATTTATTCACTCCTCATAGCAGATCAAGAGGCTGCAAGGAGAAGTTCTAAATTTAATCCTGAGGTAATGTAATATAAAATCAAACCTAGATGAAAACAATTACTAATTAAATTCTAATGTCTCCCAAATCTGCATCATATATTGCCATGTAAAATCAAAACTCCAGAAAACATATTTACTTTGCCTTAACAAATTAAATAGGTTAGAAAAACACTTTGAACTATCTGAAAATTGTATGTGTGCTCTGGTGCTACACAATGAGAACAAACACCATACAAATTAAGGAACAATGTGCATCTAATATCATCCTGTGTGTACATTTCTTTGGGACTTCAAAATAAAAATTTCCAAACTATACCCAAGAACCTTCTGTCAATTCTACCACACATCTGGTGACATTATGCAGAAGTGAAGCTCAGTTTACAATATTTAAAAAAACAAAACAATATAAATGAAAGATTTATACTCACAGGTGGCTCAGAAACAGAGTTGGACTCTTACTTGGAGTAGATAGCACAGGACTCAATAGTATTCTTCCTTTCAGCAGAACACTTAGCTTATAAGATATCCTCATAACCAGGATAGATATTAAAGAAAGTTAACATTTTATTTAACTTTATTATTGTTTTTTCTAGTATTGAAATAAGCAGTTTGCAAAGACTTCCTCTCAAGTCATTAAAACATGACCAGGTAGGAAAAGATAAATTAAACACTTACTATCATAATTTGGATTAAGGTACATAAAATTATTTATATATATATATATATATATATATATATATATAATTTTTTTAAGTTATTTAAGTTGGGGAATTGGGGGAGGGGAACAGTGTTGGGGAATTGGGGAGGGGTACCAGCCAAGTTGTTGTTCTTCAGTCTTCATTGTGGGAGGCGACGGTCGCCATCTGGCTGCCTGTCGGCAGCTCGTGGCCTCTAAGCTCAAGGTGCTGTGTTACAATCTTAGTTGGGGGTGGGCGTAGTGACCATCCTATGAGGGAGTTGCGCTGACAGCCTTGTTGTTAAGAGCGCATGCTCTATCCACTGAGCCATCCGGGTAGCAGTTCAGCTCAAGGTGCCCAGTTCAGTGAGCAGGCATAGCCCAGCATAGAACAGCAGTCTTGTTGTTAGGAGCAAGTGCTTTCACCAGCTGAGCCACCCTGCCACCTGTTGGCAGCTCAGTGGAAGCTCAGCTCTGGTGCAGCGTCACTGGCCCATGTGGGAATCGAACCGTCGGCCCTGTTGCTCAGAGCTTGCGCTCTGAAGCTAACTCTTAACCAACTGAGCCACTTGGCCGGCCCTACATAAGGTTTTTAAGTTTCTTTTCAACAAAGAAAATATACCATTGGTTCCAAGAAAAATTAGATCTTTTCAATTCAATGCCATGCTGTGAAAAGTAGAAAAACACAATGTGAGATAATTTCTTGAACCCAGTGTTTTTAGTGAGGAGGTTGGGTGGCCTAGGAAATTGATAACCCTCTCCAGGGTACAATGTGAGTGCTTCACTGGTTACACAAGTAACAAGAGATTGTATCCAGCCCCTACAGCTGGAGAAAAACAAGAACCAGTTTTATACAGCAAGGATAATCCCTATGACTGGGGACCTGACCTTTAGCTAATTTTAATGTCATTTGCATTGCAGTTACTATGACTCCCATCATGCATCTGACACCATGATAGTTCCAGAGGAACCAAATAAGGAAGAAAAAGCAGGAAACAGAGGGTCCCACCCAGGGGGAGGAGATGAGTGAACCACGTCCATGGGACGTCACCAATTCCCACCCTGGGAGGGATAAATACCCCTGATGGTGACTTCCTTGGTGTGACTTGTTCTCTGAGTTTGCCCACACTTTCCTCTCAAGTGTGTACTTTCATTTTCAATAAATCATTTTCACTTTCCTGCATCTATCTCGCTCTTGAATTCTTTCTTGTGCAGAGACAAGAACCTGGTCACCACTGCTCTAGGTTGAGTCCTCTCTTGGACAGTCCCGTGAGCCTCCAACATTAGTAGATTAAGACTTTTTCAAAAGTAAAATTATCTTTGTATTTCTGTAAAATGTAAGGAGAAATTAACATCAGTGTATGTGTACACTGTCCAAATCTAATTAGTGACATTTCTGATAGTGGGGTTGTGGTCTTCACTGCTCAGAGAAAATAATTTTTCTGTATTAAGGTAATATATATATATATATACACACACATATATATGTATATATATATTTATTTATTTGAATTAAAAAAAAATTTTTTTAACTTTTATTTATTGGGGAACAGTGTGTTTTTCCCAGGACACATCAGCTCCAAGTCAAGTTGTCCTTCAATCTTAGTTGTGGAGGGCATGGCTCAGCTCAAAGTCCAGTCACCATTTTCAAGCTAGTTGTGGTGGCGCAGCCCACCATCCTGTTTAGAAGTCGAGACGGCAACCTTCCTGTTAAGAGCTCGCGCTCTAACCAACTGAGCCACCCGGCTGCCCAAGGTAGTATATATTTTTGAATGTTTTTGAAATGGTGGTTAGTCATACACAGAGTGAACCTCAATGAACTCTGAGAAGGCAAAAATGCAGTAGTTATGAGAAACCAGTAATATTTACAAAGTTTATATATACCTGAGAAGTACTGATGTTTGGGTATGTGTCTGAGGTCAACTAGGTACTCTGGTAAGAATGGTTCAAATTTAGATAAGAAAATCTCATACAATCAATTAAACTGAGTTGATGATTCTTTTGATATGAGAATATAGACTATATCTGATTCTAGGAGCACCATGAAACATAATGCCTAAATGAAGACTGTGTCTAAAGCATGACTTGTTTAATAAAAGATAAGTTTAGAAAAATGTAAAAAAAAAAAAGCTCTTTTTCTTGAAAGACTGACTGTGGCCTATGACTAAAACCTCAAAGTTCCACTTCTACATTAATTACATTTTATGAAATTTCCAAAGTTAAGCAGACATTGGGCTCATTAACTAAAACAATTATACAAAAGGAAATATTGCTCTGGTGAGATTGTTAACTCTGGAGAATGGTATTTTATTTAATAGACAGCATGGAGTTCATACATATCCATTATCAGTGCTTTGAAAACCAAACAACTTTAAAAGTTAGCAGCAGTTTCTGCAAGTACAAAAATACACATTTATTACATAACATATGGTAGTAAAATTTGTCAAGATATATTATACAAACTCAAAGCATTTTAGATAAAGCATCAGTCTAATATATTATAGATTAACAGAGCATAATAAAATGACATGTAGTCTGTCTTCAAATCATACAATATAATACTTTACAGCAATATTAACAAATTATTCACATTAAGTATTATAGGAGTATCTAAGGGAACATGGAGAGTAGGAATGGTTATTTAATAACCTCAATATCTATTTTCTTCTATGCTTTAAATTGGGTGGGTGATTTTCTACTCGTCAATATGAAAAAAAAAAGGCTATAACTATTATTTTGTTAAGTAGAGAAGAAATTTCTTCCAGAAAGACACTCCAAGCTGTAAGAGCTTCATTCACATCTTGCAGTTCTGACAGTAGTATTGCCCGAAGGGTAAGGGGAATCCCTGTTGCCTTTATATATTATACCACAAAAGATGCGTATGGACACTTAGGAATCTAAATATAGGAGTGGTTGGTTACAAGGTGAAATCTACTTCACAACTGTGACTGAGATGGCCAGTGTCATGAAGGAGTTCTTTGGACCCAGAGTTCTAAAAGCTAATTATATACTGCTTAGGGCAAACAGGGCCATGTACCCTAGAGGTAGGTAGCACCTATAGCTAATACTGAAAGGACTTCTTATATCTTACAGAAAACATTATTTTTTTCTATAACTGAAAAATGCAACCTTTAGGACAACAGGGAAATAATATTTGACATGAAAGTTTACTGGTGGCTCAGAAAAAGAATTTGGAATAAGCTATTTTGTGGGAGAGAGGACAATCTGATGGTGGACTAAAGAGACCCAATGGGTCCTAAGCAACTTCTTATAAGCAGTTAAAATGAAGGAAGATGCACATCCATTTTTGATTCTATCCCTTCATACTGGCTGGCAAGGTCTAGTAACCCATGGAGATAATCCAAGAGGTGTACCAGCATAACCTTTAAAGCAAGAGAGAGGAGACATGTCCATGGATATGAAATAAACCAATGGGGCAAACCATGAATCATCTGGGATAAAAATATGTAAAAACTTCAGGAGATAAGGAAATCCAAAGCGAACGGCTCAGAAGAAGGCCTGACAACCACTTTGGTAGGTATTCTACTCCGTAACTCTATAACCTACTAACCTCTAAATTGTTCTCTCCACTGCCAATTGATAATCAGAAAAAGGATGCTTTATCAGTAATTTTTTCAGGGCTGCAGAAAAACATTTTGGCAAAGAGGAGCCAGGCTTTGATCGTATGTTGGCAATAGCATTCGTGTAATAGAGAAGGACTGTTGCAGTCTTCCACACTCTGAGAGTGAATGCTGTCAGAAGTCATCTTCTAGTAGGAAAGGTTCCTTTTCTGGACAATGTTCGTAGCTAGCACAGGTACCTTGGGAAAGGACACTGAGATGAGTAACCCTTGCCTTCTTTTTCTTCACAGCTCTGTTTTCTAGAGAGCAATGCAACACTAATGGGAAAACAAACCAACCAACACAACCAACAAACAAACATATCATGGTACTCATGGCTCTTGAATCACTCTAGTTTTTTCCAGTCGAGCGACATCAATGGGCTGGTTCCTGGAAGGATCCTGTGAGGGCATGTGACTACAAGATGTCACAGGAATGGCCACTGGCTTGGATTCAGGGAAATACTTCACATGATTTCCTTCATTATTGGGTATGTTTTTCTTCCTAATGCTTTGATCAGTGGCATTTTCCTTGCCTACTAATTAAAAATACTCCATAAAATGTGGATGGTTTCTCTGCACCCGGCCCCCCTCTCCACAGTCCTTATTCTTCACATATGGTATCCTGACCTTCTCAGGGTACTAGTCTTATAGAAGGCATGTTTCCTCTACAGAAGATGCTTTCTCTATCCCTCTGCTGGTATCTCTAAAAACATACGACAGGACCAATCCCATGCTCTAATAAGGAAAAGCCTCCCAAACATTTAGGTGGTGAAATTGTTTAAACTTTTTGCCAAATGGTCTCAATAGAGAGAATTCTTTTGTTATCTAAGTATTAACGATGATGATCTTTATGCTACCCATCCCAGGTATTTTATACAAAGGGGTCATAATAATTCTTGTCTTTATGTCATGATTAGCCCAGTTTCTGTTCCCATAGACATCAGATTCTTATTGTGGTTAAATGTCTTTGGTTGGATGTCTGTCCCCAACATCACACACTACTGTAGACCCTGGGTCTGGGCTGGACACATCATCCACAGTCAAAGAGCTGGGTGAGGATGTTGAACGAGGCAGAGTACCAGGAGAGCACTGCCCACTGTTCTCTCCTTCCTCGTGTGACTTTGTGCAAAGCTTGAGTCTGTCTTCCACTAGGCTGAAGGGAGAGCTACAGTGTTTCTCTGAGTCCTGGCTGGGATAAGAGCTATGCCACTGGGCTGTGTGCACAGTGCCAAGTCCTTCCGCTACCCTTAGGGGCACATCTTTCTGTTTTTCTTGCAGGGAGTTGGCTTCTGGAACACCAGAAGCGAGTGGAGGTGGCTCCGTGGGTCCCTTCAGAAAACCAGTTTTCTTTTCCTCTGGTTTGGATGCCTTTGCTTTGCTTTTGAGGGACCAGTTTTTCAAACTGGCCACACCATTCCTCAACCATGTGCTGGGGTGAAGAGTTACGGAATGCATTTGTGAATGCCACTTTACAGGGTCCTTTTTTGTATAAGCCAGGTGGCTGCTGGCCTGCCCAGATGAGGGACCGGGCATTTCAGAAATGAGGCTGGAACCACAGAAGTCAGGAGAAAGTTCTTCCTGTTTTATTTGAGCCTGAAAAGGGCAATCTATTGGAGAAGAAGTTTCAGTGGGTGTAAACACAGAGTGTTCAGAAATCTGAGAGAATGCACTGTCTTGGGAGCTCACTGATGAGCCAGATGGGGACGTGCCTGGGGAGGACAAGCTGGAATAGCTAGTCCTGGGGCAAATGTTTAATCTTGAGGGTATACACTTCTCAGTGTTTGGGTTTGTGGCACTGCTCTTGCCCACCTCGATCCCCAGGACCAAACTCTGGTTTATGAGCTTCTGCCCCTCCATTTGCAAAGACTTGTGCCGCTTGAGATAATCCTCCTCCGCATGCAAGTGTCCGGCTTCATAGCTGGCTTTGTGTTGTTTCTTTGAATAAAACCCCCTGAGATAGCTCAGTTTGCAGTGCTGGTCCTCCATGCTGGGCTCTGAGCAGCGCCGGTGCCTCCTTGAGCTCTTGATGGCCTCGGCTGTATGTGGCCGGGAGGATCCGGACGCGTCTGAGTCAAAGGGCCGGTTCCCGGGATGGTCACGTGAGGACATGTGACTGAAAGATGCCACAGAAATGGCCACTGGCTTGGATTTAGGGAAAAGTTTCCCATGATTTCCTTCACTACCAGACAAGCTTTTCTTCTTAACATTTTTATTAGTGGCATTTTTCTTGACATCAGTGCCTGTGAGTAAACTCTGCTTAGAACACGTCTTGCCCTCTTCCTGTAGGGGCTGATTCTGCTTCAGATAGTCCTCATCTTTTTGTGAGAGAATTGCATCACAGCTGGACTTGCGTAGCTTTTTCTGGTAAAACTCCCTGAGATAGGAAAGCTTAGAGTCTAGGTAGTCGATGCTGGGCTCCGAGCAGCGCCGGTGTCGCCTCAGGCTTTTTGGAGCATCTGCGGCCGCTGTGGATAGGTAGCGGGGTGTGCTCGTGGCAGATGGGGCCCTGGTGTGGTCCTGCAGTGCAGCCTTTCTATACAGTTCTGTGACGGTCCCTGGCTTGGATTCCAGAGGCCGTTCCATTTGAATGTCTTCATGTTTAGAACAATCTAAGTCAAAGTCGCTCAGGGTTAAAAGACCTTCCACCTCAGGCTGGTCAAGGTCATAGTCACTAAGGGTTAAGACAGAGTCCATGCTTCTGCTCCCCTGACCAAGTTTCTTTACCAGGTCACTACACGGAGCATCAACGTCTTCGTTCAGCTCATTTTCTAAGCTGTCATAGGAGGAATCGTTCATTTGGAAGCAAGAGATATCTGTCAAAAAGTCAAACCATGATTAACATTGGTTACCACACATACACGCTGCTGTCAAACAAACAAACAGACAAACAGCTTATGGTGCTTAGTTTAATTCTCTTTTCATATAAATTGTTCAATTTCCTACTCTTGAGAAGAAAAGGCTCTTTCACAATCTTCCCAATTGTTAGTGCAGAATGTAAAATAAAATTGTTGGGGTTATCTAGATTTATCTTAGTACATGAAGAAATGGGCTTTCCTAAAGTAAGATTTCCTTAAAGCAATGAGACATGTCATAATACCACGAAATGGTAAAAAATAAATAAATAAAATTATAAATAAATAAATACATAAATAAACAAACAAATAAATAAAGGAATCAGTCGCAGGTATACCTAGATTCTGAATAAGATGTCTTCTAATATGGATTGCCAGTGGGTACACATAATTAACTTAGTCTCAGGGAAACCATTTACTAACTCTATCAATTTCTCTTTGACAAAGTTCTTTAATATCCACTATTTATTTAATCTTTAAAACAATCATAAAAGTTAGACATGTGGCTCTCCGTATTTTACAGATACAGAATTGATGTTTGCTGGCATAGAATAATTGGCCAAAGATAACATAACTAGTAATTGGTAGTACAGGAATTCATATTCTGGAAGGCTGAATATCTTGAAGTCTCCCCACCCCCACCCCCACCACGATGCTAGCTATTTTTAAACTGTTTCATTCTGAGGTATCTCAGGGACCAAGAGGAAGGAGAGGAAGGAAAAGACCAGGCCTGCCTCTCCTGCCTCTGGGCCTCCAACTCCAGTTTTAAGTATAGTCATTCTATTATATATATTTATTAGCATTTCTTGTAAAGTTTTATTAAAAAGAAGGTTAAAACCATCACACTATATCATGCTGCAACTAACAAGTTCTTGAAGTTTGGGGGTCTCGTCTTATCCATTTTTTTTATTGGGGAACAGCCATAGTCATTGGTTACACATTGCTTTCATGCTGCAATGGCATAGTTGACTCTTTTAAAGGAGGGCGCAGCTCACGGTGGCTCATGCGGGGATCGAACTGGCAACCTTGGTGTTATCAGCACCACGCTCTAACCAACTGAACTAACCGGTCATCCCTTAGTCTTATCCACTTCTTAACTGGACCACAGTGTTAACATCAGCAGCCCTTCTAAGGAAGGAGCCCTAGGCTCCCCGACCCAGGTCAGAGGCCCCCCGACCCAGGTCAGAGGCCCCCCTTCACCTGAGCTGCTGTGACCCTGGGACAACCACTGTCCCAGCATCTTCATAGACAAAAAACAATTATTAACAATACCTGAGGCATTCTCTCTAGTATCACATCTCACTGAAACCTCTCCTAAGAGGGAAGTGATTTCTTCTCCAAATATTCTACAGCAATTTTCAATCAGAAATTGAATAAGCAGAGAAACCTGTACAAAAAAGGACAAAAATGATGTGCTACTTTTCACATAGCAGTCTATAAACCACATTTCATATACGAATCTTGGTTGTAACAAAAAAAATACAAAAGAATCCTGAGAAGAATTCATATCTGCTTTAAAATATACAAAAAAGTAATTTGGGTATAGAGATTAATTTTAATCAGTGGACTAAAGTTATTATTTGTGGCCTTGGCCTAATGCTAACATTTTTATACCAGTGGTTCTGTCTTTAAAATTATGGTAGTTTTAAGTATTCTCTGTAGGGTGTTTGGGGTGAAGAAATACACTTTGTTAGTAAAATCCATAAAGCATCATTAGATAAAGACTTATGAAATGTATTTCTTATGTAAAAGGCAGTGTCATAAGCTTGGGAAGAGGGCATCCTCTGTGGGTTTATTGTGAAGGAGACAGCTGCAGAGAAAACCTGCTTTTGCCTGGCTGGTCTCTACCTATGCATTTTCTTCTCTTAGGCTCCCTAACTGGAGGTCGCTTGGCAAAGAGGTAAGATTTCACTAGGGAGCTTGGTGCCTCCACTGAGATGTACTGGAATTTCTCCGTAGTTTTCCTGCTCCAATAGCTGAGGCAAAGGAGCAGGCAGAATGATGGGGACAAAGGGATATAACATCCCCACACCCTGTATTATGCGCCAGGCACGACAGGACTGTGATTTCAAGTACCCACTGTATGAGCTAGGTATTACCACTATCTCCATTTTTCAGATGAGGAAACTGTGGATCACTGTAACTAATTTTGCCCAAGATTGTACATCTGGCAAGTGGTGGGCAGAGAATTGAACCTTGGCTCATCTAATTCCAAAGTCCTTGTTTCTTTTTTAAAATCATACCAAACTGCTTTCTTATCACCCTGTGGTTTGAGTCAGTTACAGTGTTTTGCCTCTTTAACGAGAAATAACCCGACTGTTAGCACTTTTCTGCTTAAGAAATCACTTTTCTATAGTCTACCAGGTTAGAACACTTAATGAACTCAAATTTACAAGTTATTTAAGAAAATGTATTTTAGAATCAATACCCGAGTTTTAGGTTCAAAATGGGGATTCAGCTCCCCTGGGCATAAAAATGAAAAACTTCATTACCTTTTTTGTGAATTCATTTTCTAGTTCCGGGCTGGAGGCAGTAGGAGGCCAAAGAATGCTCGGAGCAATACACACTGCTAAATTATACGCAGTCATCTGATTGGATGAGGACTGTTGCTCAATGTTGTGTAAGACCCCGAAAAGATACCTTAGGAGAACAACATTGGCTCTTGGAAGTTGGTCTAACAGCCTAAAGACAGAAAAATGTGCTCTTTAAGCAAGACGGTTGATAAAAAATTTATATAAACAGGCAAACCTTGCTTTGCATGGGTTCTCCATGCAAAACAAGAACACAGTCCAGATATACAAGGTAACATGCATGTTAACAGCAGTTAACACGGTCCCATGCAAAGTGGGACTGCCTATATATAATGAGAGAAAACAAGCACTGGGGATTTATTTATTTATTTATTTTGTACACTGTATTCATGACCCAGTGAGAATGTAAAAGAATGCAGAAAAATGGCTCGTAAAACAAATGCTACCTGAAATATTTATCTGAAACTAGTACAATGTGTTTTAACTAAGGCAAATCCTGTAACACTTCAGAATATTTTCACCCAAAAGCCCCAAATGACATTAACCAACCATTGAACTTAAAGTGCTCCTTCATTTCCAAGTAGCAGCACAAGAATTCTGTCTGTCTCTTGGTGGGAACCCGAACTTTAACTATTAAGACTTCCAGGTCCACTCTGAGAGCTTATGCTCTGCTTCACAAGGTCAATTTTGTCCCAAATCTCTTTCTTAACTCACTGGTGTCGCTTTTGCATACAAGTCAAGCTTATTATAGTATATTTCCTACTGTTCCTATTTTGTAATTGATAAGGAATTTTTAAATTCACTGCAAATGATTCTTACTATCATCCAGAAAACAGATAAATATGTTGATATTCACGGTTGTTGCTTTTTTCAACAAGAATCTGCAATGTAGGGGAGAAAATCAGGCAGTCCGATTTCTGTTGCATACCGTATTTCCCCATGTATAAGACGCTCCCATGTATAAGATGCACCTTAATTTTGGGGCCCAAAATTTGAAAAAAAATGTATTACATAAAGTTATTAAACTCAAGTTTTATTCATCATAAAATTCATACAACTCCTCATCACTGTCAAAACTCCCATTAGCTTGTCCTCATCTGTGTCTGATGACAAATCACTGTCTTCATATATTGCCTCGTCCTCAGTTCCATCTATGGCATTTGAAATCTACAACCACTGTATAATACCCACCCAGTTTTTAGACCCCAAATTTTTCGAAAAAAGGTGTGTCTTATACATGGGGAAATACGGTCATAGCAGAGAGGTATTTCTTCAGGACAATGAACTGACAATTAGTATAGTTTTGTAGAGATAAATTATGACAGATATTGAAATGGGCCAAAAGATTATGGACTGTATTCAATGGAAAGTAAGGCATTGTCTAGCATAGTCTTCTGGGTTATCTGATTTTATGGAAGCCTTACGCCTTTGAGCCATTTTTACAGCTCTGTAAGTTGTAGATAACTGGTAGCAGTGCACCTAACACTTGCCCATAGAATTGAAAATTCAGTCTGCTGGAGAAAAATGATTTATACACGTCCTCTCCCCAACCCCCAATGCCCCAGTAGAAAAAGCCAGTTTTGCATCTATTTGTAAATTCATTTCAGCATTTCTGACTCAACTACATAAGTTGTGGTAGTCTGAAATCTCCTTTCAATGGCTTGCAACATCTTATTAGTTCTCATCAATTAATGATTTAAATAAAGTCTTTCACATGTGTTCATTTTATTTTGTATGAGAGTCATAATTTTATCTTTTTTAAAAAAGATATGATCCTTTAACATAGGAGATAAAGTTTTAGACAATGGACAACAAACATAGAATCTGATGTTCACTATCTCTGAATGGTTTCCACCAAACCACAACGTAAGTGGAGATAGTAGTTTGTTACATGGCTTTGATTTCTGGTGTCTTCAAGAGTTGTGCTATGCTCCTCTATGGATAAGAGATGTCTATCAATAGCAGTGTGTAGATAATAATTCACACTTGAAAGTTGCTCAAGAAGAAACTGCACTAAACAAGCATATGCAAAAAAATGATATTGGGATTCTTGGGTTTTCGAAGAACTGTAAGTATTGCTTTTTGTTAATGGACACTTCTTTCTTATGCTCTTGTAATTCAGGAAACATTGAGGAATGGGGGTGGGTAAGTTCTGCCAGAAAATTCCCTTTGTATGAGCAGAGACAATACATTCTTTGTGATCAGACACACTTTGCAACTCCCTTTTTCCTTGACACTTTTTTAGAGTTAACTGCCTCTCTGCAGTGCTCCCAGAACACCCTCCCCCACATTTCTCTTTTATAGCACTGATTATACTGCACTGTAATTGTAATTCTTGCTTTATCTATGTACTCTACCAGACTGTGGGTTGCTTGAGAAAGAGAATTTACTCTGTATGAATTCAGTTGCTGAATGAGATACATAAGGGGTTGTCTGGTTAAATATTGACCACTATTAAGATCATAAGTTGTAGATTGGATTTACAGTATTGGCTATTGGTTAATGGGTTTCAGCTCCTCTCAGATTTAGATATACAGAAGGTGTACAATGGTCATGTATGCCGTGTTAATAAAATAAGGGAGAAAACAACACTAACAATGACAGCAGCTAGCATAAATTTATTTTTAAACTGGTCCCCACAGATATGATTTTGATAGTCATCATTACTTTAATAGACAGCTTATAAAATTTAAGTTTTGTTAAAAAATATTTTTGAGACAGGGCCAAATTAGAATAATTACCTTTGAATTGTATTTATTTTCTCTTCATCATTTCCTTGATCCATTATACAGATCCACTGATCATAGAGATCTGATGAAAAAATACTTCCTGGAATATTTCGTAGGAAATCCTTACATAAAGGGAAAAATAAGTATTTTAAGTCATTATTCTCATTCTGAATATGTACTGGAGAAATAAGAAAACATTTTGTTGAAAAGTTCAGTTAAGTCTTCCATTCGTTGGGATACACAGACCTCTATGCCAGCTCTCCACTGACATGCACACGTAGGAACACAAACTTTGATTTTTTTCTAATAAAAACCAGAGGGATAATTGGAGTCTGGACTATAGTGGGAAAGATAAAGAACAACCTGTTTGATTTCTGGTGTTTGGGCTGAAACTTCCTGTTTGTGTCCATTTTAGCAAAAATAGTACAATGTGACAGGGCCTGGCAAATTATCCTAAATCCCTTCCCCGCCCCTATCAAATCACTAGTTCAAAGAAATGCACAAAGATATTTGTGAGGTTCATAATGTCTTAACCAGATATCCAATCATTCTATACATATTTACTCATACGGGCACTGCTTGAGGTTCTAGGGACAATGCAGTGAATAAAACAAAGTCCCTGTTATTTTCAAACTGTATTCCAGTGGTATGGGTGAACAATGCCATTTAATGATAAAGAGTTTCTCTCTGTCTTCCCCATAGAAGGGCTCTCACATATTTCGGGGGAGAAAGTATCCCAGGCAATGCATGGGCTCTGGGAACCAGGGGAAGTACCCACATGCCTGATATACACTAAATAACATATCCCCAGCACATTATCCTTCCTGGCCTTCCAAACCCTGTGCTGAGGAGAACACTGGTTGGGCTGTGTGGTGAAACCAGACAATGATACACGTAGTATACGGCTAAGGATGTTTGTTGTTTGTACTTTGTTTATGAAAAACAAAAAATAAACTAAATTTGGTTCAGGTCCTATGTTCATTTCTGCCAACTTTCTCTGTTGCTTTTGGCATAATATTAACAACAAGGCTAAGCTTGCAAAGTCTGATCTCCACCTCAGTAAACTTCAGGTAGAGACAACTCAATTTTACGTCTAGGCAATGGTTGGCTATCATCTTGCAAGTTCCTGCTTATACCATGGAGATACGTCAATGTTTGCAGTTGAGCAATTTTAACTCTTGCTGGAAAACCAAGTCAGCAACTTTAGCTATGTGGTTTACAAAAAGCAACACACAACTTGTCACTTATATGCCATGTTTACATTACTAATATGAAAGCTGTGATTCCGTATTGTTATAGTTAGCTGTCACATGTGTATGAGCTCCTCCAGGGCAAAGGCAGACCCTCACTTCCTTCTTCTATGCTTCAACGCCAAGCACAGTCTCAGACACAGCAGTGGTCATTACTGAACAGTTGCTATTTATCATTTGGACAAATATTAGTGAGGGACAGGGAAGGCCAACTAACTATAATTGAGATTCTAAGATAATTTTTAAAAACATCTTTGTAGTCGTGTCACCTATCATGATACAATTTTTTTTAAGAGTGGTTAATAAGTAGGAAGATGATTGATTTAAAGTCTTTCTGTGCTCTATTATATCTTCCAGTAGAAATGTACCTGGGTACTTTTGATTCAGATATGTCTTCACAAAAGTTACCTCATTTTGGATAAAACTATTGAATTTTCATAATTCCAAACTAATTTTAGTCGCTGTACTACTTTAAAAGTCAGATTTAAAAGAGGCAAAATCTGTTATTTCAAAGTGGGGCAGTGACAATAGCTCTCTTTTTAAATCTCAGTGGAAAACATACTTATGATCTGTCTTGAAGAAAAACATCATTAAATCTTAAACCTACACTTGAAAGATAACTCGTAACATCTCAATGAACTCTCCACAGCTGGAATAACAAGTTACGAAATACAACCACCATCACAGCTGAGAAAGGATCGGAGAGCTGGTTCTGCATTATAATCACCAACTCACAGTACTCAGCTGAAAGTCTCCTCCCCTCTAAAACCAGAGCCCGAGTCATCAAGCAGAGCTCGCAAGTTCATATGAGATGAGATTCCTGCAGGATTAAGAATGAACTTTCCCTCAAAGGTCTGATGGATCAAAGTTACTGTGTCTCAAGCAATTTTGTTCCAATTATAGTTTCAAGAGTTGAGCTTATTATATTTAAGCGTAACCGGTATAAGGAAAAAATTAAAGGAAAACTTAACTACCACTTCCACTCTTAAAAACAAGAAACAAAACAAAAGCTCAAAAACCTTTGGCAAAAAGTATCTCCTTTCCTGCAACCACTTGGAAGAAATGAGAGTAAAACACAGTTACATGATTATAAAACTTCAACTACTTGGAACCCATTTAACCAGATTTTACCATCATTTGCATCAGTTTTTGTCTTTTGCTTAGTTTTGTACAAGTAATATTTCTGCAATTTGAAATGCAGGTGAACTCTTCTAGAATCTTACTTCTTTGTAACAGCCTCGGCAATTTAGCACAAAAGTTTAAGTGTGGTGCTGTGAAGAATAACATAGTAAGAAAAATTTTCTAAAACACAGCCTTTAACTTCTTAAATGAAGAGATAGGAGAAAGCCTAATTATATGATAAAAAAAGGGAAAATTCATCATGTATTCCTGACATATATCTGGCTAAGCTCATCAAACATATCTTTATTGTATTCCAGGATTGAAGAGTAATCACAAACCCTGTGCAAAATGGATTAGATGACCCTAGCTCCAGCTCTCCAGTTCTTCTGAGTGATACTTTATTGCGAAAGCCTACAGCAGGGGTTTTCTTAAGAGTAGATACGGCCCATTTACCAAGAAACATCCGACTGTGCACAAAATCATGAAGTAAGATTCTGTTAGCAGTAGACCACCCAGCAGGGGTAGGGGTAGGGGGTATGCGAGAATCTTCATCATGTTTTCCTTAATTTGGTTTTTATGCTCCAGGCCCTGGGATGCAGGGGGAGGCCTTGTCTCTGTCCCTGGCATGATGCATTCCTACCCCACTGGGAGCCTGGGGCAGGTCGGCAGAAGCTATTACTGGGGTTAGAAGCTCTGCTAAGAGCTGGTTTTCCAAAAATGTGAGGCATTTTCAAGAGTGTGGGGAGGAAAGCATTTTAGAAGAGTTCTAACTCAACTATGGATGTGACTCAAGTAACTATGGGGTCAAGGGTAAGAACCATAAACAATGTGAAAAGTGGGAAGGTGTTTTATAAAAGAAGGCTCAGATGCAGGGGTCACTCCTACTCCACTTTTACTTTCAGTAGGCCATTAGTGGCCAGGGGAAGGCATGGTGATGGTATAAACGAATACAATTTCAGTGGTCTTAATGAACAATTGTTTTGTTTCCGTTGTTATGCAAATATTTGTTTACTATGGATTTCTTTTCCAAAGTTTATTTTTGAAAAATTTGCCTTTATTAGGAAGGCAGTGAGATTGTGAGGAAGTCATAATCAGGATGTTTGTTTTGGTAAACATGCTCTACGTTTTGATTATTTTTAATTTAACTTAATTATTTTTTGCCTGGGGTGGCAGAAGTGAAGATGAGGAGAGTGGCGTGGGATGAAAAAATTTAGAAAAGATGTCTGATACACCATATCATTGGCAGTGGCTTTTAAAGGCCAATGTTGACTTTGTGAAGTGTTTATTTTTTTTTAACACATTTTAGATTCTAAATCTATTATGGTTCTTTACAGATGGGAATAAGGTCATAACGAAAGAAACCACTGGCCTTTCTCCGAAGCTATACCATGCGGTGGATGAAGGGAGAACTTTTCCTACCTTTAAGACAGACGCTATTACAAAAATGGATTCACAGTCTAGGTGTGCTTCAACTCCAGAAGTCAGTTTCTCTTTCAGCTCTCTGCAAGATTTCATATTGGCTGATTGTCTGAAGATGCCTTTTGTGAGGGGTCCTTTTTGATTAAGAAAGCTAAGCATATCCTATGGAGAACCAAAGGAAAAAAAGATATGGCACTTTACACACATAAGCAATCTCTGGGCTGCCAGAGGCTAGGGTTCCCTGGGGAAAAAGCACTGACGGATTGGGGCTGGATGGACTGCTAGATGGATCAAAGTCAATGTGTTTTTTCATGACTCTAAGTCTCTCTTCTCCTATTCACTCAACATCTAAAACATTTTACTTTAAACACTTGCTTTAATGAGATTGTCTTGATTCAGTGAACCAACAGGCACTGTAAAATGAAGTTTTTCTGGCTGCTTCAAGGTCTCTGGCAACTAATCTCTCTCCTCTCCCACTACTCTTTTCGCATTATTCTCTAAAGTAAACTCTTTTCCCCAATGAGGAAACATTATTGTCAAACTCATTCTCCCCTTGCTTGTCTTTCTTTTTATGAGTCTTCATATTTTATTCTACTTCCCGTATTTACTTCCTTTTTTTAAAAAAATACCAGGCTCAACAAAATCTCCAGGAAGCTTTCTCCATTCCATTCCATTCTGATCCATCTTCATTTTGCTTTCTTTCTAGCTGTATATCCTCTGCTTTCCGTGTAGGACAAGAATGAGTGTTGGGGGACAAGCAACCACAAAGTGCCATCATCTAGCACAGTACTTGGAGGACACTGGACACTTAAAAAATGTGGCTTAACAGTGATCATTAAATATGTCAACTGGAGACAAGACAAACTGAGTGGCTTTCATCTGATCTATGCTATGCAAGAAAGAGAAACTAAATGCCAGAGGATGTAACTTTATGCGTACACACTTGAAACACAAAACACATGTTAAGATTTAAAAAAAACCTAACACTGAGTAGTCTGTGCTGCTAAAGTATTAAAGACTTTCAGAACAATATAGAGTTCAAGAAAGGAGGTGAGAGAAATGTGAGAGGTAATGTGATTTCTTGGTCTACCAAGCAACTTCTAATATCTGAGTAGGCTTATGTGGTGGCGCTTTCCTGAAACCAGTAGGCTAAATGATCTCTTCCTATTGTGTCTTCCTGATGATTCTGCAACTGCTTGGTCAGGTTTTTATTCTCTGAAGCAATAATAATAATGATTCTCAGCCAAAGCCATGCGTGTCTGTAATATTTCCATTTGGGGACAGACCTCTCTCCCTTCCTAAACCTCCTTTCCCATTGGTGTTACAGGTCAGCATGAGACTTACCAAGACAGGTCTGGGCAGATTGTCATTTTCACAAATATTTGGCAGAGACATTCCAAAGAGCTGTCCTGGCCCAGGAGATGTTGGTGACAGGGACAAGTTATCCAGGTGAGTGCTAGAACCCCGCCAAAAGGCCCAGTTTATGATAGATCTTCTCCTTTTAAATGTCTTCTGACCCGAATCTAAGGAAGAAGTGAGATTAGGAAAACTAGTTTAATTCATTTAACCTTATTTCTACAGTTTCCATTTTACAGTATGTTCATTACTATGGCTCAAGGAGGAAAAGTACTTATAGACATACTTGGTTTCTGTTCATTCAATCTATGACATTTAAGTATACTATTTTATAAATGAAGAAAGAATTAAATGTTTGGGTTATTCGTTTTCTTGTCCATTTTTGGAACATCACCGGTCCATTTCCTTGAGTTCTGGCACTGAATTTTCAGAGGTGAGAGAAAGGCTCCCTTACTGTACTGTAGCAACTTAAAGCAAAAAGTGTTTCACACCAACATGTATACTGTCCCATTTTAAAGATGAGACCAGGCACACAAAAAAGCTGAAGATTAAATTAGACCACAATTAAATAGTACGAAAAAGAATGAAACGAGGAGGGGGAGGAGGAGGAGAGCTGTCTCTATTGAGACTTTTCTCGAAACAAAGAATGCTTTATTGCCTGATGTCCCACTCTACTGAGAACAGGGACAGGAAGCTGATGTTCTACATCCCCCCACTTTCTTTCCACCTGCAAAGGCTTTCATGTATCTTCAGTTCTCAACTTAAAAACGCATGTTTAAGGCAGCATGGATGGATGCAAAATGGAGTGAGACTTGCCCTTGCCATGGCAAAGTTTATAATCTAATGGGGGCAAGACTGATGGTGGTGGGGAGAAGCAAGTATATAACTAAATAAAATGCCACAAGGGAGGAACAAAGTACCAAAGACATTCAGAAGATCAATAAAGCACACCTACCCATTAGGAGGGAGGGTGTGATCCTGGAGGCATTTACATTTGATTTGGATTTCGAATGAACAAGATTTCAACAGGGCATCCAGCATTGTGTCTTGCATTTATTGAGTAGCACTCAATAAATCATTCTTGAACAATAATTGAATTAAGGAGATTTAGGTGGAAAAAGACAAAAAACAACATGAACAAAATAAGCAGAAGAGGTCAACAGTGAATCATGGCTTTGTGATATCATAATGCTAGAACATTTTTTATGTCCTTTTGACAGCTCTAAAGGTCCCTCTTGGACCTCTTTGCCACCTTCCCCTGCTCCACAGCCCCAACACACATACACAGATAACAACTATAAACTCTGGACAACAACAATTTAAAAAAAGCCTACCTGAAGGCATCAAAGAGGGGCCAAAAGAAGGTAAATGCTCGAGGTAAAAGTCTGACACTTAGAAGAAGAGAATGGTATAGCACAGGGTAAGTTTCCTATTCTTACAGCTTTTAAGTATGAGGACAGGCCCAGGGTGGTGGGGTGACTGAAATTTGGAGAAAAGCCTGTACTCTTACTGGCTTGAAGAAGTAGAGAATGGTGATGGAGGTAACCACAGCACCTGGAAAGTGAGGACGGGAAATCCTAGGAGAAAACTGAATAGTGCGAGTCGCAAACACGGTGTATAAATGCTGCCCACATCTCTACAGACCCTGAAGCATGCATGCTTGGGGCAGATTCAAAACAGCCTGTAGTTAAGGCTGACGGAACTGAGACTTGAGGACCACAGGCCCTCAGGTGGCATTCACTCAGGGTCTGACTCCATGTTCTCCAGCGGGAGTGCCTGGGAATTGGTCATTAAACTCTAGCTGTGGGGCACTGACGCCCAACCAAGCTACCGGAGAGGATGGTTAGCTCCTCAGGACCCCCTGACAACGGAACACTGAAGGAGATGGTCTTTCAGGGAGGACCTGGTCACAGTGCCAAATGCTAATTCCAAAGAAATGTTTTACATTGTTTGGCGATAATGTACTGTAGCATTTTATTTCCTCAGAATAACCAAATTAAACCAAATACTAAAAAAAAGCCAAGTTGTGGGAGGATAAACAAATAAGTAACATTTTACGGAATGGCCTGCAGACCATCATCCACACGTGGCTTCCTCCGGATACAGTAAGTGCATTACCAATGTGTACGCTCCAGGTGTAAATGGTCTTTGGCTCTGGAGTCAGGAGTCCAGTCACACTCCTGGCTCAGGCACTTATCTGGGTAAGTTACTTAACTTCTTTGCTCAACTTTAAAATGATATTACCTATGTCTCAAAGGCTTTTTGGAGGGTTATGGAGGATAACATATGAAAAGTACTCCTCTGTGGGGAGGGTCACAGTGAACCTGATTAAAGCTGCTAAGACACCAATCTCCTCCCCACAGAGGACGTCCTCCCCACATCCACTGTCTATTTGCTGTAACAGCCTTCGGAAAGTATACAGACAGGAAAGAATACCAGATTCTGCTTAACTAGAGCACTTTCTTCCTGCCCTGACCTTCCCAGCCTATATCATTTTGAAAAAACAGAAAAGGAAGCTAAACCCATTCTTAAATCCAGGCGGGGGTTCCACTATGCCTAGCAATGTCAATCTGTGCAAAAGTTTAATATGTATGTTTATGTGTGTTGAGTAGTTGTACTCAGTCTAGTTTCCTCATATTTAACCTGGGTTCATTATTTCTAAAACTGTCAGATTTATTTGATCTTTTAGCTTTCACACACTTCTCAGAAAGAGTGATTTATCATAAAGTTATATACCCAGCTATCCTATGAGTGTAGACAGAGGATAAAGTAGAAATTGAGTCTTGTACTGTATTATAAATACTTTCAGCTGTAGCCATGCCTTTCGTTATGTACAACATTCAATTTTAGAGTTCATGTTCCCACTGGGACTGAGAGGAAAAAAAATTTCATTAAAGTTTACTTTCTTGAAGAGCTTTTAATGCATACCTCTTACTTTCTAAATGTCAAAGGCTGATGAAAATCATGCTATTGCTATTATAAATATAAGGGCAATATAAATGTAGAGAAAACTAAATTCATGTAAATCTAACTTTCCTAAACAATCCTGGCAAGATTCAGCTAGTGTTTCTTCATGCTTAAATTAGGGAATTGAATATTAAAAATTATCATTCTTAAAAGTTTGTGCTTGTAGAATAATAATCACAACAATGAAATCTTTAATTAGAAATTCTATTCTAGCCCCATAACTCCCCAAATAAAGAATAGCTTTCCCCCACCCCCAGAGTCGGAACTACATCTGGGAGAATACTAGAATGATAGGGCAAACCGGCAGAAGAAAAAGTTGCACCCCATAGTTTACCATCTATCATAAAAATTCAGTCCCATTAGCCCTGGGTCTGAAGCAGATGTGGAAGGTGAGCCTGCTGTGGGTACAGAACTGGGAGTTCAGTTCAAGCTACAATCATTCCCAGAAAGATCCCACTTCAACCCCAGAACTCTTCTGCTCCACTCAAGTTTTCCATACGGGGTGTGACTAAGCCACTCAATCTTCCATTTAACTTCCCTGTTCCATACACTGGACTAGGCCTTGCTCTGAGTTCCCAGGCCTTAAGCAAGTTCACAGTCTAATGAGACATGTAAACAAATCAGCATAATGTAAGTTTTTATGCGTTACATTAGAGATAGGTATAAAGTGCTCTGGAGACACAGAGAAGGGGGCAACTACCTGCCTGAAGGAACACACATCTCTTGGAAGTGATATTTGAGTTGGGTCTTGAGGTCAGATCTTTAATGCCTATATCCCGAACCCCCAATTAACACTAGAGCTGTCTGAATGGGGACCAGCCACTCCAAGGACGAGCTATAGTGATCTAAGTCACAGGGGTAACCTTCTGAGAGATCTACTGCTACTCCGTTTTCAATGTGATACTACAGCATTTATTAGATCTTCCCTACACCGAGGCAGAAATTTTGAAAACAGACTGCGGATGATTATGCTCGCCTAAGGTTACTTTGGATAACTGAGATATTTTCTTTAAGCTAACTAAAGAAAGCCTCCCTGAGATATGGAGACATGGAGTTATGTCTTTATTCTAGTTGTGGCTTATTTCATGACATGGGGCACAGAGGGTGGTAAAGAAGGTGACAGTGTGTGGACTTTAAAAGCACATTAGTGCAATATATAGATGATGTATTATAGAATTGTACACTTGAAACCTATATAATTTTATTAACCAATGTCACCCCAAATAAATTTAATAAAATAAAAAAAAATAAAAAAAATAAAAGCACATTACATTTTGATACTTGATCATATGGTAATATTTTGTATATCACAATGAGGCTATGAGAGTACTGAAAACAATCTTCCACAGTGGCATGTTGCCTTCAAATTAAAACAAAATCAAGAGCAGTAACAGAAGCAGTGGGGATTGACAGTAAGACAAACAGTAACTATATAAAATGGTCTCTGTTTCATGAAGTGAGTTAGTGCTCACGTGTGCACATATCATGGCAGTGAGGTCAAGTGACAAGAGCCGGGATCAAGGACGGAAGACCTAGTTCAGGTTTCAGCTCTACTGTTATACGTTTTGTGATCTTGCACAGTCTGAATCTGCTCATCTGCAAGGTGGAATAATAGTGTATTACCTTACATGGTTGGTTTGAAGCTTAAAAGCAAGTATTTTATAAACCTAAATTCTATGCAGAGATTACTTGTTAACATTATGAAGAGTGTCATCATCCAGCAGCCAATTACTCTGTTTTTAGAATTTCTAGACTCTACAATTGGTCAGTCTTTCTAGACTCCTTATGGCTTTTCTACCTCTAATTAAAACACTACAAAGAGGTAACAGGAAAGGCATGTTACTTGGGTGAAGTGCTGGTATAAAGTTTGGTAGAAGACTTCAGCTAAAATGTTTTTGATTCAGTCATCTAAATCAGAGGGCAGCAAACTATGCTCTGTAGGCCAAATTTGACCTGCTACCGACCTTTCTTTGGATAGCATGTGAGTTAAGAAAGGTTTTCACCATTTTTAAAAGGTTGGAAAAAAAATCAAAAGAAGAATATTTAGTTACAAATAATAGGAAATTCAGATTTTACCGTCCTTAACAGTTTTATTGGCACACAGCCATACTCATTTGTTCATGTATTGTCCGTGGCTGCTTTCCATTGACATGCAATGTACAACTGAGAAGTTGTGACAGAGACTATACAAATAGGTGGTGCTCTCATTGCTTTGCACTGCTTCTCAGTGCGACAAACTACAGTGACACATTTATATCTTGACATTGTTTGCAGTGCCACGTGAATCATGATATTGCAACATTTAATATTTCTATTATCCATCAAGAAAACAAGATAAAAGTAAACTAATGTTGAGCTTTCAAGGTACAGTGAAGTAAGGATGACTTTGTTATTGAATTAAATGGCAAAGTATTTTGCTAACTGTGAAATGACATAAGAGCTGTGATAAAAGAATACAATATATGTCACTTTACCAGATTAGGCACTCATCACAATATTCCCAACTCAGGAAAGCAGTGATCAGAAAAATTTAGAACATTTACAATGAAATATCTCAGCAATGTAGAATTTATTCACAAAAATATAAAGGAAAACGATGATGGAAAAATGTTAAGTTTCTGAGTGGCTCATTTGTTAGCCATGCAAAGAAAATCATTTACCAATGGTGAGTTGACTAAATCTTGTGTGCTTGTAGTAGATGAAGAAATTTGTACAGAGAAACTAGATTTAAGACTGTTAGCCTTTTGGTGAGAACAGCTGCTTGAATAGTTGAAGATATTAAGAGTAATAGCAATAGTAAATTAAAAAACAAGGCAAATCATTTCTAGTGACTTTCTTTAGGTCTTGATTAGTTAACAGATGTTACCAATATGGCTTGGTTTTTACTCCGGAAGTCAATGCTTTGTTTGAAGTGACTGAAGAATGTGCCTTGAAAAGTCTGGTGGAACAGCCACAGGTGAAAATATTTTCAAAGAAGCTGAGACAACAATAATTCAGTACAATATGAAGTGGAATCTGCTAAAATATGTTATATATAATGGTAGTAAAAGTGTGTGGAGCAGGAAAAAGTATAATATGTATAAAAGTATAAACTTACAAAGCTTGTGAAAATGTAAAGTATTTAATGCCTACGGTTATTCATTGTATTATTCATCAGTGGTACTGTGAGGAAAATATTTGAATCTATCAGGTATTACTGGGTCAGTAGTGTTAATAATGACTTCATTTACTGTCGTGGACTTAACCATTGTCAGTCTGTGAATTTCTGTTAGAAATAGAAGCCAAATAGCTTGACTTGTGCTATTACACAGGAATTCAGTGTCTCAGCAGTGGTGAAGTTTATAGTAGTATTTGAAGTTAGGGCTGAGATTGAAATTTTTTTTGAAGAATTGCCCTCAACCATTATTACTGAATACTGAATGGCTTTGGAAATTAGTTTTTGCTGCAAATTTATGATGTTTCTTAACGAATTCAACCTAAATGACAAGGAAAAACACTGCTTGTATATGAAATTTTTGTAAGTTTCATTTTGAAAACAACTAACATTTGCTCACAAGTCATGCCAAGCAGCTTTATACTCTTCTCATGCTGTCAAAAGTTAAAACAAGAAGCAAGTCCTCCATTCCCATACAAACTTGTAGCAAATCTATTTTCTGAGCTTAAACTACAGAAGTATTTTACTGACCTCAGTGTAAGTGCAAAGGAAATGTCCATATATCACAACCCATTTAACAGTGCAGTTGAAGAGCTTCTACCTAACCTTTAATGGGAAGTGATTTATCTGCAATGAAATGACATGCCAAAAGGCAAGTATCAAAAGAAGAACCAACAAAATTCTACAAATGTCTTCGAAGAGAGGAATATACTCAATTAAAATTATATGTTTGTGGAATGATATCATCATTTGGCAGTACCTAATAGTGTGAAAAGATATTTTCAAAGATGAAATATATAAAATCTCATTGCATATCAGAACATTTGCAATAAATTTTGATGACTGTAACACTAACTTTGAACCCCAATTAAGCAAAATGTTATCCTCCCCCAAATAATTGAATTTTTCTCATGAATAGACCTGTAAGACAGAAAATTATACTCAATTATTATTATTATAAACTGAATATCATCGATAAAAAAGTGTGGAAATTTGTTCTCTCTCTTGTTATATATGTACCTAAATAATATCCTTGATTTTGTCACTTAACCTGCAAATTTTATGATCTGGCCTTTTACAGAAAAAGTTTATTCATGATCCTGATCTAAATCAGTGGTTACCAAAGCAGTTGTTTATTAAAATTTTCTGTATTTAAAAAAGCACAAAACTGGTGCACCTGTCATTTTTTTAGCTGCACAGGTGATTCTGATGCCCAGTGAGGTTGGCACAGGTGGTCTCTAGTTACTCTAGCACTGATCCCACTTACCATGAATCACCTATAGCTGCAAATACTAGTATCCTAACTTACAGTAGGGAGAAACAGCGTTTATTAGCAGAGAATGCCTACAATTTAATTAAGCAAGTCGTTGGCAAAATTGGGTGAAACTGTTAGGATTCTTGACCTCTGCTTATTGGTCAAATTAATTAAAATAAAATTGAGAAGGGACCCAGAGAAAGTTTTGAAAAACATGGGTATAAAGGTAGAAGGGTAAAATACTATTCTCCTAAGCTTAGTTATAAAGGCAGTGTTCCTTTTGTATTTTTAATCAGCAGTAACAACAGACTTACTAATAAATTCATTCATTCAAACATACTTATTGATTTATTTACACATCAGGCGCGGTTCCAGGTGCTGGGAATACAGCAGTGAACAAAACAGGCCAACGTCCCTGCCTTCATGGAGCTCACATATGAGTGCATAGGAAACTACAACCATCTCTAATACCCCTTCAAAGTGGCCCGAAGATGTGAGTAAACAGCTTCAGAGTCCAAAAACTCCATTTACCATTACAGGAGGGAAGATGAAGAGTGCAAACGTAAGGTTAAGTTTTTACAGCTGGTGTTGGCCAGATGACTTCAATAAAGAAAAAAGCTGGATGTGCATGTGTGGGGGTGTGGTTTAAACTCGCTGCCACTGTTCACTGGGTCCCCCAGTTGGTTCAAATTCACAAAGGCAGCTACAGAAATTCACTATCCATTTTTTACTATCTCGCATTTGCTGGTATCCTTTTTCTCTATTTTTAATACACTCTTACTTTCAGGGTGAGGGTTTAAAGCTCAGACTTGGGTTAGGGGAAATGATAATCCCCTATGCTGAACATCACTTCTATCATTATTATAAGGTGGGGAAGAGCTGGCTGTGGTAACAGGGAACTCAGATTAGATTAGTAGACTAAGGAGAGGTTTCTGTGGAAATCATCTCAGTCTTCATATACTTATCAGTACCAGGATCCAGGTAGGGCATCACAGTCTCCTGCCAACCATCAGTGACAGCCTCCTTTCTGTAATGTGACTATTTAGGGGAACACACAGTGCAATGTGTTACAGTACAAAGAAGGCATTGAAGCACCTGCCGCACTGCCGGGTGCCTCTGACTCTGCAGTGGGCATGAGGTTAAAGGGGAAAGAACAGTGAAGAAAGAAGGAACAGACTGCACTGCTCCTGGGTGCTGATTACAAGCCAGTCACATCTACTGCTGATTTATAAAACTATCTTCTAAAACTCCACCTTTCCTATCAAAACCCTTTGCAAATTCAAGTGAAAAAAATACTCATCTGGCTGGAAGTCTGTACTTTGTCTTTGGACTAAAATTGTTTCCAGGAATGAAAACCTTTGCTAAAAAAAGGGCTCTACGAAGGAGGAGAATCAACTCACCACTCAGTTGCTGCTGGGCTGCAGCCAGGCGGCTGGGCTTCAGGATGAACTGGCACTGCATCTCTCGGGGCAGCTGGTCCATGAGGAAGGGCTCCTGGAGGTTGGAAGGGCTGCTGGGGTCCTTTGATAACTGTGTCAGGAGTGCAGTGTCTCGAAGATGGCTCATTTTAATTCCATAGGGATATTCATGCCCTACACAGAGAAAAATCCGAATGTAGACCATAGACTGACTGGTACTGTGAGCACGTGTGCTACATACTGGAATGTACTGCAGTTTGCTCCTGGGATTTTGGTATAAAGCATCTTTTTGTTGATGGAATGATCATCACGCACACTCTTCCAGGTGGAAACCACTGCACAATGCAGGTGGCCCTACCAGAGTAGTTTGAAGGGGTTGGGGGAGAGGGGCAAAAAGCCAGGCTTTAAAGAATATCTTGTTTGCAATGTACAGATTAGCTTGTGAGTTGCACAATGTGGTGTGTCCTGTGTTCACATCTAAGAATGTTTAAGGCTATTCTAACCTTTCCTTTGACATTAAATATATCTGTAAATCTTCAGCAAATCCTTGACCTCTCTCAGCTTCAAATCCATGATTTAAAGTATTTACCTTACCCATCACACTGTATTATAAGGATCAAATAAGCAAACATTAGTGGTTCACACTATTTAAATAACAAAGGTAAAGTACTATATATTTCAAGCATCACTCATTATTATTATTCAACATAAGATATCTGTCTGAAAAAGACATTTAATGACTTTTTATTAGTTACATGATCAGAGTTACTCAAGAGCATCAGGACTGGTTTGTTTTATGCTTCCCTCCCACTGTTGCCCTCTGAGATTAGTGTTCATAGGCAGTCATCAGAAGCAAGACTGTAGGGTATTAGAAACAGAAACAAGATGCAAAAAGGAATCTGTAAACTAGAAAAACTAAACGCTGGACATCTGAATGCAATATGAGTTTTTGCTCTTTAGTACTCTAAGAATAATAATTGCATTTTCTTAATTGAATCCTCAAGTACCATTGTGCTGTAGATTTTTTTTTTGCTTATATTTTTTACCCATTTGCTTTACTTATTTATTTTTAAAGTAATTTTTATTTTTCAATTATAGTTGACATACAGTATTATATTAGTTTCAGGTATACAACATAGTGATTAGACATTTATATAACTTATGAAGTGATCACCCCGATAAGTCTAGTACCCATCTGACACCATACATAGTTATTACCATATTATTGACTATATTCACTGTGCTGTACTCCCCGTAAGTATTTTGTAACTACCGATTTATACTTCTTAATCCCTTTTCCTTTTTCACTCCCCGCCCCCACCCCTGGCAACCATTAGAATGTTCTCTGTATCTATGAGTTTGTTTTGTTTTGTTTATTCATTTATTTTGTCTTAGAAGTACAGAGAGTAAGTTCTCTTCTATTCCTGATTTATCACTGAACATAACTCAGTGAACATTTCCTCCATCTGGCATACAATGTCAGTGTTCCATTAATATCATGTACTGCAGCAGCTTCCAGGCATTAAGGCAAAAAAAAAAAGAGACTATTATGACAGCAATAAAACAAACTAAGTTTATCAAAATAGTAAGCAGCTAGTCTACACGTAAAATTTGCAAGGCAAATTAAAATAAATATACAATGAAGAATTGCTGTGAAATAACAATCATGTCCTTTGTCCCGTGTTTTTTAGTGACTATTAGATACAGCGTGAGACAGTTTTAAGCCTGAAAACCATCCACATAGTTTTAATTAAATTAATATATTTTATTAAAATTATTTTAGGTATTAATTTGATTTTTAAGCACAATTTTAATTGTTGCTCATTGAAATTTATAAAAATAGTAACATTAAAAAAAGAAACGGAAAATGCAGTGAATTTTGTCCTCATCTACGTACACGATGGCTTTATTTTAAGTCTGAGAATATATATTTTGTAGAAAAGTTTGGTTTTAGATTATTCAGATCACCTAAAGAATTCTGAACTGCACAGTAGTGACCTCACAGGTAAATGAAATGATTACATGAAGTAATGCAAATGATATGCTTTATACAATGTCTGGCAGACAACAAGCATTTAAAAATTAACAGAAATTGTTGTCATCATCATCATCATTACTGTCATCATCTCAAGATCTGCTACAGATACTGTCCCTTATTTTAATTGCTCTATTTTTTAACCACACTGAATGACCTTAACTGATCAAAAAATATTTTTTAGCTAAATGATTTAAATAAGGTGAGATGTAACTATTTACGAATAATGCCTCAAAACAAATGCTGAGAAATCTGGCTAGAGAAATAGCAAACTAAATTAGAGAAGTATTAGCTAGTTTGTAAGTCAGTGAAGATTTTTCGGAATCTAAATGGGTTACTCTTATTTTCTTTATGATGTCTAGGAAAGTTCTGTGAGATTAAGACTCATGATTACATTCTAGATGGTCTTCCATAGAGGCAATTTATTAGGTAGGAAAGGAAGCAGGAAATTCAATAACTGAATATGAAAAATAAACATACAGGGGAAAAGAAATACCCGTACATATTGCTTTATTCTAGAAAAAAATTTAAAAGGGCTTGGCAAGATAGCTAGCTCTCTTTGTAAAGTGGAAAAGAAAAGAAGAAAATTTACATTTCTCTTCCCAACTATACCACCAGCTGCTTGAGTGATGAGATATTATTTGTCTAGCAAATAGATAGATGTTTATTAAATAAATGAATTTATGAGATTTAATATTTAATAGTAATTAAGCTTAGGACCATATGACTAGTTCTCTGAGACATTTAGAATTATAATTAAAATACAATCAAACCTATCTTAGATTTTCACAGAAACTTACCAATAAGTGGATATGGAGCCGCTTCTTTGCCAGAATTGACCCATAACTGGTAATCTCTCTCACAGCCCTGAAAAGCAAAGAATTAAAAAAAATTCTTTCAAGGTTGGTAATTGAAGGAGGACACATTTTTTGACATTTTTATGTTTTGCAAAAAAATCAAAATGGGGACAATATAAACGCCTTCAGATTCATGGGGGTTGTTACAGTTTTTGAAGACGACAGTGCTAATTCCTACAACCCTTCTCCCCCTCTCCAATTCCTGCCTTTTCCTAGTGATGGCCAGGCATCCAAGAACTGCAATGGAACTACTCATTATTATGGGTAGCCCACAGAATGTGAAATCATATACATGCCCTTTCACAAAGGAAGAGAAACTCCCTTGTTTTCTAAAAGACTAATCTTTTCTTTAGAATCCTGACTTCTGCTATGTCTCCAGACTTCTCAGGGAATATCGGACTTAATCTCCTACATGCCCCTTCAAAGACAACCTTGTTATACAGGAAGCCACAAACACTGTTGCGTCTGTGATGAAAAAGTAAAATCGCAAAGGCTATTAGCTCAGCTGCTTCTGAGAGAAAGGAGATAGGTAGCTGGCACAGTCATTGGCTTTATTTTGGGCAAGTTCAGTTCTAGGGACAGAAAGAACAAGAATTTTGACTACAGAATAGGTCCAGTGACATCATAAAAAAAATGGAATTGTTCACTAGCAGAATTAAAACCCAGCAATGCTAAAAATCCTACTTGAAAGAAATAATACTAAATTATAGACTTCACTGTATCCTCTAGGAGAGGGAAAAGCAAAAATGTTTTAAATGAAGCTAGAACATATTAGTAATACCAATACTCCTGCCTTTATTTTCTGATTGAAAATCATGGCCCGGACCTTCTAACAGAGGGTTCTGTCTATAGAGCATACCCTTCCCCCACTCCCACAGCCTATTCATCATTTCCTTCCCCATTCCTGTAGTCAGAAGTTTTATTGCAAATAGGAAGAGCAATCTCACAAAAATCCTTTCTTTTTTTTGACAATGTCTGACAACACTGTACTAATCCCTTAGAACAGTAAAAAATATTATATTGAATAGAAGTATATTTGGTCTGAGGCGATTGATCACTTCATCCAAAAGAAAACCATAAATTAAAAAAAAAAGTCATGATTAATCTCCTTTCCTTCCCCTTAAACTACTCAATCTCTTTCAAGACATAATTGTATAAGCTTAAAAATCAATGCAGAGGTGCTTTCTTTATTGTGCACAAAAATTTAATTACATCTTAAATATTGGGTTGTCGGAAAAGTCATGATGTATTTTTTCTGTTTTTCGTTACAAAAACGTGTCATGACTTTTCCGACAACCCAATATATTATTAAATTTAACTAAAAGAAATCAGATTTCTTGCCCTAAGTTTTGGTTGCCCTACTTTCTTAAAGGCTTACTATAACACTGTGTACAAGCAGATCTAAATACAATGAATAAGACCACAGCATATATTAATATTATGTCATATGTCACCTCATAGTAACACTGTGCTTTCATATTTATAGAGAATCTCACTCAAGAAATGGTGTCGTCCAAGTGCTTTCTTTAGTTTCTATCCTTCCGAATGTCACTCCTGTATGGTGTTTATATACCAGTAGGGAGGAGAACTTTCCAATTCTCTTTCCCCTACTTCATCCTCAAATATTCCAATCTTGTCCATTAAAAAAATTTAAAAAACTTGTCTTTGCCACATAAAACAGAAAGAAGCAGAAGCTAAAAGCAAAACGGGAAAATGTGGTGTACACACTAAAACTCTTTAAATCCATGACCCAATTCAAAGCTGGTTTTTAATTTACCAATTCATTAGAGGTATCATCCTCTGGACCTGCAGCCAGTGAATATGGTTTCTAGCTATGTGTTCTTTATTTAAAAATTCTACTACAGAGCAAATCCTTCAGAAGTCATCATCCTAAGACTTATTGAACCTTGGGATAATAAGAGAATAATTAGGTAAGGGAGAAGAACAGGAGAGGATATGGGGAAAGAACAGTCATATATAGTGACAAGTGGGAAAGAAGGAGGAGGTTGAAACTTTTTTTGTTAAGATTCTTATACAAAAAAGAAAATACCTCCCCAACTGTGTATGTACATAGCATATACAATAAAAATACATGATTATTTTATTACCACTCTAAAATTAGAGTCTAATGTTATGCTTTTAAGTTCACACAGATTTTAAAATGGGAGTAAAAGAATAGCATCCAATATTAAGATAATATTAAGGATTTACACTCCTTATTTTCTACATTTCTGGGGACAAAATATGACTGATATCTCAAGCAATCAGCTGTCTTCTGATGGAAGGGATAATATTTACATGAATCTAAAGTATCAAAGTTTGTTAATTAACAATATCTAGCAGAGTAACTTACAGTTATCCCTAGCATTGGTAGTGACATGTTGATAACTTCATTTGCTGTATCTGAATTCGTTATTGTTATAGTTTTAGACTGCAGAAAAAAAAATAAGAAACACTGATATACATAAAGGATTTTAAAACAGGAGAACAAGTAATTATTGTCAAATGATTATCTAAAGGCAAATCTTGATTTCAAGTGCTGACAGGGTAACGCATATGACTTAATTAGAACACAAACCACTGATAATTTACTTTCATTCCATTATACGTGCCTTTTAATAAAACACCTATTTCTCTTAAAAAAAGAATACATGGCTCACTGAGGCAAGAAAGAAAAAGGGTAAATATATTTCAGGGCAAGTACATGGACCACCCTCCCAACCAAAAAGAAATCAGTGAGGTTGACCCTTTGCATCATTTCCATAATGCAACATGTAATAAAAGAGGAAGACAGCTATTTCTATTTCTTCCCGAGTACTGTTTTCGCAGTGTGGGTTTTTATTTCTTTGCATGGTAAAAAAGTCAGTTCAGGTGAAATCAGAATAAGAACTGCTTATAAAAGACATTTAAAGTTTAGAATTTTAAAAAATCACTGTTTATTGAGCACTTTCTATATGTCAGGCACTGTGGCAACTGAGATTTTCGTTGTTGAAATCTGTAGAGGCCTTAAAACCAGTGAGTCTAGCAAAGAGGACTGAAAATTTTAGAAGGCTCATTTCTGTTACCAACTCTGCCATTAAATAGTATCTCTAATAGCTTTGTGCTAAACTACATTGAGAAATTACTACTTAAGAATAGACAGTTCACAACAAACAAGGGGATTAACAAGATTCTGAGATAGATATAGATATAGAGTTCACTGAATTCCAACACATTGTTTAAATATAAGACAATGTTATGTCATCAGAAAAGAAATATTTATTATGTATATAGGTTTTACATATTGGATTGTCGGAATAGTCATGACGTATTTTTCCATGTTTTTCATTGCAAAAATGCGTCATGACTTTTCCGACAAGCCAATATTATAATTATCAGATAAACTAGGAACTAAGGCTGTATCCCTGATAGGGCTTAAATGGCACAAACAAGTAGCATAAATGAAAACAAAATGATATAAAACAAAAAATTATGTAAAAATAAAGCTTAGAGAAATCCATTGATGATTCATCACTTATTCTTCCATTATAGCATTATTTCACTACAAGTCAATTACTTGACATGATAAATTATCTCTTAAGGTTGTTTGTTAACTGATTTTGAACTATGCTCCCTGTAGCTCTAAGGATTGTGCAAAAGTGTCTCAGAACCCAACAGGGATGGCACAGAGCACCCAACCAACCCAGTGTTTGTCTTCTACCAGAGTTGCAAAGATGTAGAATTATATATTGGGCTTTAACTTGCAATATAATTTCATGGAAGGCTTCTACTTTCTTCTTTTTTAAAGTCTGTAAACCCTGCCATTTAATTTAAAGAAACTCTCTCATGGAGTCTTTTGTAAAGTGAAGAATCTACCCTGTAATACTAATAATCACTCCCAATGTTCCTAGTTTCTAAGACAATTTTTTTTTACTATTAGGCATATATGTTCGAAACAGTAATTACAGGATGTGTGTTTTCCTTGCATGACTCTCTGGTAGACAAAAAAATAAATTTCCTCAGACAGTGCTCTTTGTCTAGCAAACAAATAAAACAGAGACAAAACTGAAAATGTGGTTATTTTTTTTTTCCATATTAGCAGAAATCACCGACAGGGTGCAGAGCTAAAGGCCAAGGATAAAGAATGCTTCCCCATACGTGCACTCTTATTTGGGTGCAATCACTCTTTCTGGAAGCAGGGCTCCATTATAGGAGACTCGTGCCATGAAGCAGCTTAAGAGAGTGAAGGACAGTGTCATATCACTGTTGAATTAAACAGGGTACTAATCAGTAATAAAAACACAGCACCCAACCACAGTGCATGTCATCTCTTCAAAATGAGAGTGGGACACCAGTCCTCTCTCAAGCACACACTTTTATACACTGAAAGTGTTAAAAAAAAAAAAGTTCAAGGGACTTTCTGTGAAAACCCTCAATGTAACCAACTGCCACAACAACTGAATCAAAGCCAGCAGCAGAAAGTGGTGGTTGGTTGGGTATGTATATACCCATGTATATATGTACGTATATACGTATGTAGACTCTTTTGCTACAGGAGATCTCTGTAGTCTTCATACCATAAAAATTTGAGTACTTCCCTCAAGCAGTGACATCTGGCACTCATGTCAGAACATTTGCATAATTTTGCTTTCAGCCAAAAGACAACTGTTTGTACTACATGTTTTTCCACACACAAAACTATTCTGTGTGATCTAGAGCTGCTGTGAAGTATGATAATTCATAGTAAAAATAAAAATATTCACTAGTTTCCATTTTGTTCATCATTGATAACATCTTGGCACTTGTACTATATTTCAGTCAAGTTACATCTACTAACTAGACTTAACTGGACTTTTTATTTGACCAATATGATACAAACTGTGAGTTAGAAACATGCTGACCCTTTAAAAATGTCACCCCTCTCAGCTCATCCATTTATTAACCTGAGGAATTCAATCCCCCAAAACTCAAAGAATGAATAACTTTCCAAAATCACTTTCTACTTAAGAAGTGAAAAGTTGGAAACAATTGCTTAATACTAATAGGAAATATCTCCTTGTGGAACTGGCTTTAGTGTAAGCCTCTGCAGCTGCTATTGAAAGGATCCAGAGAAACACTAATGCCAGAGGGAAGAGACATCTGACAAGCAATATTCCTGCCACGTGTAAATGTTAAATACTACAGTTAATATGAATTTCTCTTGCTTCTTTTTCTGTAGCGTTTACTTTTCATATATAGAAAGACATACACATACCCAGGAAAATGCGTTTTGCCACAGTGGTATTTCTAAATGCCTACCTTGCATGGCACATACACAGTCTGTCTGTCTGTCTGTCTGCCTGCCTGGTGTTCTGCCTGATGCAGGGACTTGGAATTTAATTTTCTGGCTTAGAAACACTTACATAGGCACAATTCCCAATGTCCTTGGCGAAGATTTTGAGGGGAATGCTCTTCGGATAGTCCTTCTCTTTCTCTAGATTGATGTATCTAATCAAATGCAACAACAACCCAAAACAACACTGAGTCAGATGGATTTTGCTAAATTGCTTATTTTTAAATCAATCTATTTTGATAATATTTTCAATATACTTAATTGTTATTTTTAAAAAGACAGATGGAAGGACTCAGCAAAGTCAGATTACATTATGGGTTGAAAGAGAAAAAAAAAATCTCAGGACATTAGGCATGGGCACAAAAAGAATGGGGGTCCATTTCAAGTGAGGTTTGAGAAGCACAGCCGGGTCTAGCCACCTCTGGGTGATGTTTTATCCTCAAAGCTTCCCTACTTCTCTGGACCTTACTTAGGCACAGGAGTACATCTCATACTTTACTAGACCAAACTAAAACAATGGCCTTTCACGTCTCATTTAGCTCTCCAGTGGAGTGTAAATCTTGGTTGTCCCATTGCTTGGGTAGGCAGAGAGGGAAAAACGGAGGGAAGAACTATGGCAATAAGAGATGAACCTAAATTGACCATTTTAGTCTGTATGCTCAAAGGTAGGAAATAATGATGGATTTTTGAGGTGCTCAGCAGAAAACTCTTCATATACGAAAACTTAATACATGCTTTGAGAAAATCGTTAGCTCCAAATGGTAGATTGGGGACAGGAAAAGAGATGGCAGAGATTATTGGCTAATTTCTGTCTGAAATAATCTAACCAGACCTCAATGTTCTCCTTCCTAGGAAGTAATAAATACATGTAATGAGAGAACATTACTTACAGTATGTAGTGGCTAGTGTACAGTCTAAACAACAGCTTATTTTGAGGACAAATGAACAATTTCTACTGAGGAGAAGGGGAGTCATTTGGGGCACATCTTTGTAGAGAAGAATTTAATTCATTGAACTATAGATTAAAGATTAAAATACATATACTGAAAAAATACCTCTGAAGAAGAGAGAGCCATTTGTCCTTCTGTTCAGGAGAACTGCAATCAAATAAAATGGTAGAAAAAAATAAACCACATAGAATACTTAAGTTAACATATTTAAGATTGTCAATGAAATATCAACAGTCTGTTGTTAGTGATGTAGCTGCACACTACTACAACCCTGGCATGGCTGCTCTGGAGAACCCTGACGTGAAACCCCTCATTAGGAAAAACTATACAGTCAAGTAGAGTTTTATTAAAACCTCTTAGTTGGACCCAAGAGAGCCCCACTTTTTCACTTTACAACTCTAATACAAGTGGTACTCTTGTAGTGGAAAGAGTGCTTAATTTGGAATCCAAACACCTGGTTTCAAGGATATATGAAAACTATATAAACATGTGCAAATCACTTAATATTTCTAAGCTTCAGTTTCTACATCTATAAAACTGGGCTAATTATCTCAGAGTGTTTTTGTATCTTTAAGTGCCATACAAATAGAAAGTATGCTTAATTTGAGATTAAAGAGATTAAAGACAAATTTGGCATATCAATGTAAATATCATGGCCTAGAAACAAGTTTGTTGTCAGGAAAAGAAACATTTATTTCTTTATACACACAACAGAATTATAACTTAGTAAATTACTTCATTGAAAACTTACTCTTGTTTTGATAACTTCTTATTTTTCAATTACAGTTGACATACGATATTATATTATTTTCAGGTGTACAACATAGTGATGAGACATTTACATAACATACAAAGTGATCACCAGATAAATTCAGTACCCATCTGAAACCATACATAGTTACTACAATATTGTTGACTATATTCTTTATGCTATACCTTACATCCCCATGACTACTTTGCAACAACCAATTTGTACTTCTTAATCCCTTCCCCTTTCCACCCCCCAACACCCTCCCATCTTGCAACCATCAAACTGTTGTCTGTATTTATGAGTTTCTGCTTTGTTTTTGTTCTTTAGATCCCACATATAAGTGAAATCATATGGCACTTGTCTTTGTCTGTCTGACTTACTCTACTCAGCATAATACCCTCTAGGTCCATCCATATTGTTGAAGATGGCAAGACTTCATTCATTGTTATGGCTGAGTAATATTCCATTGTATATATTTACCAACTCTTCTTTATTCATTCATCCATTGATGGACATCCAGGCTGCTTCCATGTCTTGGCTATTGTAAATAATCCTGTAATGAACATATGGATGCACATGTCCCTTCAAAGTAGTGTTTTGGGTTTCTTCAGATAAATATCCAGAAGTGAGATTACTGGGTCCTTATGGGAGCTCCCTTGTATTAAAAGTTAACTGCTTTTCTCTTGCTGCTTTTAAGATTGCCCCTTTGTGTTTAAGCTTTGGCATTTTAATTATGATTTGTCTTGGTGTGGGCCTCTTTGGGCTCATCTTGTTTGGGACTCTCTATGCTTCCTGGGCTTGTATGTCTATTTCCTTCACCAGGTTAGAGACATTTTCCATCATTTCTTCAAATAGGTTTTCAATTCCATGCTCAATCTCTTCTCCTTCTGGTAACCCTATGATACAAATGTTGTTACACTTGATGTTGTCCCAGAGGCCCCTTAAACTGTCCTCATTTTTTTGGATTCTTTTTTCTTTTTGCTGTTCTGATTGGGTGTTTTCTTGTACTTTATCTTCTAAATTGCTGATTCGATCCTCTCCTTCATCTAATCTACTACTGATTCCCTCTAACGTATTTTTCATTTCAGTTATTATATTCTCAATTTCTAACTGGTTCTTTTTTATGTTTCCTATCTCTTTGTTTAAGGTCTCACTGAGATCATTTTAACCAGTGTTTTGCTCTGCATCTCGTATATTGCTTATCTTCATTTTGTTTAGTTCTTTTTGTGGGGATTTGTTCTGTTCTTTCATTTGGGACATGCTTCTCTGTCTCCCTGTTTTGGCTGCCTCTCTGTGTTTGTTTCTATCTATTAGGTAGGGCTGCTATGTCACTTGGTCTTAGTAGAGTGGCCTTATATAGTGGGTGTTCTGTGGGGCCCAGTGGCAGTCTCCTTGGTCACCTGATCTGGGTGCTCCAGTTGTGTCCCTTGTGTGGGTTGTGTGTGCCCTCCTGATGCAGTTGAGTCTTGATTGCTGTTTGCAAGTCAATAGGAGGGATGGATTCTCAGGCTGAGTGGTTGTGAGGACCGACTGTGACTACAGTGGAGGAGCTGTTGTGCAGGGGCTGACCCTATGGAGCAGGATTTGCTTTAGCAGGGCTCTGGCTCCTGCCCAGTCTGCCCTTTGGGTGTGTCCCCTACAGAGGCAGCTGAGTGGTGTTCCAATTTGGTCTGAAGTCAGTCACCAGCTGTGCTGCCCTGCGGCCTCCTGGGAGCAGACTGCTGCAGGTCAAGTTCAGCCACAGCTTATGCCCTGCCCCGGACCACCTGGCATGAGCCACAAAGCAATCTGCAGATAGTCACCACGTGCCATGGGCTTGGAGATGCCTCGAGAAGCCAAGCCATGAACAGAAGCCAGCAGTTGTTAGTGCTGGGCTTGGGTATGCTCAGCAAGAGGTATGGGTCATGTCAAGACCAGATGCTGCTTGTTTGGGGTTTGTGAACCTTTGAGAGATTTTTTTGTTTTTTTTAGATTTTTTTACTGAGGAATTGGGGGACGGGAACAGCGCTGGGGAATTGGGGGAAGGGGAACAGACAAGTTGCTGTCCTTTTGTTCTTCAGTCTCGTTGTGGAGGACGTCGCTTCACTGGCCCAAGTTGGCACCATCATTGCGCTCTTCCTGGCTGAGGCAGATCAGTCGCCGGCTTCTGGATGGCCACTCACCGCGGCTGCTGGCCGCTCAAGCTGGCTGCTGGCTACACACAATAGCCCATGGCAACCCACTGCAGCAGGGGCTGCAGCCTGTGCTGTCACCGATGACTCACGGCAACCCAGCTCCAGGTTGAGCGATTGTTCAGCATCTTAGCTGTAGAGGGCAGTGTCACTGGCCCTCATATGTGGGATCCAAACTGGGGCCCTCTGGCGTCCCAAGCCAGTTCTTAACCAACACTCCACTCGCCGGCCCTATTAATCTTTCTTAAACATATGTATAGCTCAGATTTATTTCAATATTTAATATTAGAAGTGTTTTGGGTGTTTATTTGGAAGTTAGATGTTTTTGTGACCAGAAATATGCTATAGGAACTTAACACTTGTGTTTATGTTAATTAGCCTATGGTAAAATTAATTTTGTTATATATTGCTTCACTGGAAGCTACAGTTTCCAAGAACCTATCAATGAAGTTAAATGAGCACTTAAATGTATAGTTATCTGTAAAATCAAGGTGCAGTGCCTATTTTTTCTAGTAGATATAGGTTCTAGGTTTGTGAATCAAGATACAAGTAGTGATAGAGATAGGAAATTCCTTTTGGCCTTTTTTGAGATGTGATGATCTACCCCATTTCCCAAGGTAAAGGATGGAAAGTTCACATTGTTTGCTCTTCCCCCAATTTGACTTGATTAGGAATTCCTCACAAATTCTGTCATTTGTTTGTCAGTCTTACATTTCAAAGCTATTAGTCTTTTTAAATTTCTTTATAGATATTATAGTCACTGGCTAGGAGAAACTACTTCTTAAGCTGCTAGCCAGCTAGCCTGATGGCATTTTAAACTGATCATGACCTAGATTTTCTTAGTATTTACTGAGATATACACCACTTCTGATATTCTTCACCCCTTCCTAAAGATCCAAGCTTCCCTCTGATATCATCTCACTTCAGGCTGAGAAACTTCCCTCAGCATTTTTTTTTATTAGTTCAGTTCTGCTGGCAATTAATTCTTAGAGCTTAAAATAAATCTTTATTTCATCTTCGATTTTGAGGGATGTTTTTGCTGGATATAGTTTTCTAGGTTGAAAGTTTTTTTTTCTTTCAACACTTTAAAGATGCCATTCCACTATCTTTGAAACCACCCTAGTTTCTGATGAAAAACCCACAGTGATGCAAACTGTTCCCCTGTATGTAATGTGTTGTTTTTCTCTGGCATTTTCAAGATTTTCTCTTATGTTCGGTTTATAGCATTTGTCTATGATATCAGTAGGTGAAGTTTTCTTGATACTCCTTTTTGCATTTACTGAGCTTATTGAATCTGTACATTTTATGTCCTTCACCAAATCTGAAAAGTTTTCAAACCATTATTTCTTCAAATACTTATTCTGTCTCATTCTCTGTCTTTCATCTTTCTGGAATTCCAATTACATACATGTATAACTTTTGATAAGGTATATTTTCTAACAAGTCTCTGATGCATTAAATTTTTTTCTATTCTTCAGATTGGACAATTTGTATCAATGTATCTTCAAATTCACTAACTCTTTCCATTTTCATTTCCATTCTGCAACTAAGGCCACACAGATTTTTAAAGTTTAAGATGTTGTAGTGTTCAGTTCTAGAATTTTCATTTGGCTCTTTTTATATATTTTGTATTTCTCTGCTGAGATTGCCTATCTTTTCATTCATCTCAATTGGCTTGTCCTTTTACTTGCTGAGCATAGTTATAAGAGCTGCTTTAAAGTTCTTTTCTGGTATTTCCAACTTATGGATCACTTCAGGATTGGCCTCTTAATTGTCCTTTCCCTTTCATGGTTCTTTGAATGTCAAGAATTTTAGGTTGTATTCTGGACATCATGAACGTTTTGTTTTGGAGAGTCTGAGTCCTGTTATATTTGTAAAACAGTGTTGATGTTTTTGTTTTAACAATTAACTTGATTAGCCTCAAGCTGCAAACTCTGTCTCACCTGTGGTGGTCAAGGCCTCAGTTCAATTCTTTTAGCCTTAGCTTCAAGCTGTTTTGAGACTGTTCCATGCATTTGTGGTTCAGTAATCATCCAGAGAATTGGGCAGAGTCTGCTTGTATACATAAAATTTGGAGCTTTCCTTCTCTGATATTCTCCTTTTTGAGACTTCCTCCTTCACTTTCCTGTGGCTCTGGCTGACCCAGGCTCTGTCCTCTGGTTCTGCAGCAAAATGACTGTGGGCTTTTGGCAATTTAGTTGCTCCCCACAATATGTGACTGTTGC